AAGCCCTGTAAAAGGGTTCCTGTAAGTTGGTTCTGACTTCTTGATGGCACATAACACATAGACCCTGAAGGGCCATGCCTTTCCCCCCCAAGCTCGCAAATGGAAAACGATGTCCCTAGAAATCTCGACATGTGATTATATTTTTATACGGTTTCAGGAGAGTTCTAGACCAATATGTGAACAACCTGAAAGTCCTTTAGGGCTGTTCATGAGCCATAGGTTGCCTTTGGCATCTACTGTAATGGCCCAAATCCTGTTGCGTAACATAAGCAAATCTTCCTGTTTCAGTCTTTTCTTTAGAGGTGAATAAAGAGCCCCCACTGCCATTCACGGGGGGGACATGAATCTGCACCAAACTAGCATGTGTGTGCGCCCCTCCAACACTCAATAGCAGGGCCTTTTTATTTACCTACAAGGAATTGAACAGAAACTTACCCATTTTCTTATGCAACAGGATATTGGTCATATAAAGAGATAGAGACGGAGACAGAGTCTAAATGTATTGAGTCTGATTTAAATCTTAATGAGTACAAACATATCATCCATACAACGTAGATACGTATTATTGACATTTTATGGACTCTTGTCTATATATCAATCTATCGTACCTACCAGTTGACTTGCCTAGTGTGTGAATTAGTAACTCAACTCAGGTTTTCTTTCAATGATTTGGACTTGACTCATGATTTGGAATCTGCCCACCCACCCCCTTGTTTCTGGGAGGTGGGGAGCTTGTTTTTAAGAGGGACTCAGACTTGGTACCAAACACTTAGTCGAAACAAAGGAGTCTGATCTGCACATCAGGCTATGGTTTTTTGGAACAATTGCAGAAGATCCGCAACTCCGTGCTGACTTTCCAGTTGAAAATTCCTGCAAGAAACAAAATCTGGCATCTCTCCAGTATTTTCACAAGTTGAATAAAAGTATCGCCTATATTTGGACCTCCTGCCTTTTCTCCAATCCAACTCTCTCACTCACCTCCCTGGGCATAACTTTCATTTGGAAGTAGATCCCTGGGGAATTCTGGGAAATTTAGTCCAAAGCAATGTTTCCAAGCTCCGGTGAGAGCAGTACTCTAACCTATTCCTATATGTTGACCCTATAACTTTTTTGAAAAAATTTGGTTCCTTCTTATGTCTTTGACAAACAGGGGAGGGAGGGCATATGAACCCAATAAATCAACACACCCTCCTCATCAGATTGTATAGGTCCACATGAAAGTAGAGTGCATGTGTAAGAAAGAAAAAGGTTGAGCAGCAACCAGACACTTATTTCCATTAAATTGAAAACCTACAAGAGCATTGGCTCCCACCATCCCCAGGATTATTTGATTTTTGGGTAGTTTTAAGATGGGTGTGTGGACCTTCTGAAGGGCCCATCATGGGCTGATCCACCCCACCAGAAGTCTGCTTCTGGGTTTGCTTTGTAGGGCTTGGGAAGGCAGAAGAAAGGATGCCTCGTCTTCCCTCGGAATCACCAAGCAGGGATTTGAGGCTTGGGGCTCAATGTTTAGCTGGGGAAGAAGTGTAGATGGGTAGACATTGCGGGGATGTCTTGATCTAAGGATTCTCTCAGGAGAACCCGATTGTACTGATGACCTCCACAGATGCTTTAGAGAAAGTAGGAAAGCTGAAAGGGGGCCCTTTGTAAGATTTAGATCAGTGGTTCCCAATCTTGGATCCCTACAGTTTCTTGGGCTGCAATGCCCAGAAGCCTTCACCACTAGTGGTGCTGGTGAGGGATTCTGGCAGTTGCAGTCCGAGAACATCTCTTGAGAGTCCCCTGGACTGCATGGAGAACAAACCTATCCATTCTTAAGGAACTCAACCCTGAGTGCTCACTGGAAGGACAGATCCTGAAGCTGAGGCTCCAATACTTCGGCCATCTCATGCGAAGAGAAGACTCCCTGGAAAAGACCCTGATGTTAAGAAAGTGTGAAGGCAAGAGGAATGAAGGGGACGACAGAGGATGAGATGGCTGGACAGTGTCTGCGAAGCAACCAACATGAATTTGACCCAATTCTGGGAGGCAGTGGAAGACAGGAGGGCCTCGCGTGCTCTGGTCCATGGGGTCACGAAGAGTCAGACACGACTTAACAACTAAACAACAAAAATGGTTTTTCAGGATGCTCGTAATATAAGCCCTACCCCAAAAATAAGCCCCAGTTCAGTGAAATCCTGCCCTCTACCCTTGGGCAACGACTAGAAGATGATGATAGGACTGTATTTGAATAAATGTAGATGGTTGCACATGAACAAAAAAAAATCCCCTGAAAATAAGCCCTATTGAGTTTTTTGGAGCAAAAATTAATATAAGACCCTGTCTTATTTTTAGGGAAACACGATATTCGCAGTCCAGGTTTATTATACCAATGGTCACCCCTATCTTTTTGACTCACACTTCCCACCCTGTAGATTGTCTTTTAAGATGCAAAGAAAGGAGACAGTAGCCAACAATACCAGAGTATTTTATTTATACTATTAATACTGATGTCTAGATTCTTTTTCAGCTCCATTCTACTCAGGCCAGATACCCACAAACATGTCCCTGCTAATGTTTTCCTGTAAGTGTCAGAGGGATCTGTTCATGTCTTGCAGAAACATTACTAAAAGTATGCAGCCACGTGAGAGGAGATGCAAGGGAACTGAAATGTCAGCCCTTGTAGGAGAAAGATGGGGAACCTGTAGCCCTCCAGATCCTGTTGAGTTACAGGACTAGGGATAGGATTTCTTGGAATACAAATTCCATCATTCTCCAATCTGGGAGTTCTCCCTGACAGGCAGACACCTAATCGTGGCTCACCTGACAGAAGAGCCAAGACTGGAAATCCATGAGACCTAGCTTTCTATTCAGAAAAAAAAGCTCCCAACTAGCAGCAAGGCAAAAGCAGGAGGGTTCAGCAGAGCCAGGCCTAGCTTAGGCTCAAAGCATTTCAGTTTAGTCCTTTCTCCCAGGTGAGTCATATTTAGGTACTGTAAGATGTCCGTCTGTCAGGGAGCGCCCAGACTGGAGAATTATGAGATCTGTAGCCCCTCACTGTAAGATGTCTGTCTGTCAGGGAGCCCTCACACTGGAGAATTATGAGATCTGTAGCCCCTCCAAAACTAAAGATCCCATCTGATTACAATACACATCATCCTTCCCGACTAATGGGTCTCAGGGTTGATGCTGATGGGACCTTTTGAGTCCAAGGTCAAGATTCTTCAGTCACCCTTTGCAGAATATAAGACAATAATGTACTGCTCCATGTTCTTCGAAGATAAGGATCAAACATGATGTAACACTCTAACACAATTCCCATTACAGTGGTGCCTCACTAGATGATGATAATCCGTTCCACTGAAATTGCTGTTTAGCGAAATCATTGTCTAGCGAAAAGCATTTCCCTATTGGAATGCAGTGAAACCTGTTTAGTGCGTTCCAATGGGGAAGAATCGTCGTTGTCTAGCGAAGATCGGCCATAGGAACACCGCTTTGCGAACCGCCGATCAGCTGTTTAAACAGCTGTCTTGCGAAGCTTAGGTACCAAAAAACACCCGTTTTGCAAGCACGGAGGGAGCTGTCAAAATCGTTGTCTAGCGAAAATCGGTTTGCGAAGCAGGGACCAAACACTGTCTAGCGAAATTCCCCCATAGGAATCACTGTTTTGCAAATCGCTATAGCGATCGCAAAAAGTCAATGTCTAGCGAAAAAACTGTCATGCGGGGTAACTGTCTAGCGAGGCACCACTGTATATGAATTTGTTTCCTATAAAGGGCAAATACCTCTCCTACGCAATCCAGGTCAGAAATCTCCCACAGATGAAACAGGACACTGCCGCCTTCCCCACTCCCCCACCATCCTGGTCTGAACTGCCCTCCCCCATTGCCTCTTACTCAGGCTGGAAATCTCAGTGGTTGGAGGTCTCTGGCTGCAGATCCAGGGGTTCAATCCCCCCCACAGGGCCTCCCATGAGTAGAGCCATCCTGTGTAGCCTCGAACCAGCTGCACAGTCTCAGGGCAACCCCAGAAGAAGGGAAGGGAAAAACCACTTCTTAGTATTATCTACCTGGAAAACCCTCAAAAGGTTCACCCTAAGTCAGAAATTAGCTGACAGCACGTGATGATTATTCTTTTATCTGTTTGTTTGTTTACTTATTTACTAACTAGCCCACCTCTCTCTTTGTAGAGGGGCTCATGTTGACTCCACCTTGTGTGTTGGTCGGGGGCCGGATCCTGTAAAAGCATCCCACATAGGTGCATGATCAAGTCTGGTTATAGAAAATCTACAGAGACCAGTATATAAAGTTACCCCCCACTGTAATTTTCACTGGGCAGAGACGCCCTGAGACTTCTTGCACCTTGTAGCAAGAATGTGACGCTGAGAGGGTGTAACATTAGATGCCTCACCTCTGGCCTGGACTCTTGTCGTAATTCTTACCCAAAGAAAAGTAGGGGAAAAACAGTACTTTACCCAGTCTACAAATGCATTGGATTACAACTCTCATCATCACACCAGCTTCTGGTTCAAACTAGGGATGGGATTTTCTGGAGAATAAATACCAAAAAATTCTTAATTCTGGGGATTTTATCTACCTGGAAGGCTACTACTAAACTCTCAAATGTGATATCTAGGGAAAAAATGGCCTAAATCGGAAGGGTTTGAAGCTGAGCTAGGCCTTGCTCTGGCCAAGCTTTCAGAAAGAAAACTCCCAGCTAGCACCGGGGCAGGAACAGGAAGCTTGGGTGGCGCTCGGCCTAACTCAGCCTCAGAACCTTCCAGCCTAGGCCTTTCCTCCCAGGTGTATCCCATTTACGTGTCTGTAAGACGGATAGAGCTCCCGTCGCTTGTCCCAGCTCCTGCCAACCTAGCAGTTCAAAAGCATGTAAAAATGCGAGTAGATAAATAGGTACCACCTCGGCGGGAAGGCAACAGCGTTCTGTGTCTAGTCGCCCTGGCCACGTGACCACGGAAACTGTCTACGGACAAACGCTGGCTCTACGGCTTGGAAATCGGGATGAGCACCACGTCTTAAGAGTCGGACACGACTGGACTAAATGTCAAGGGGAACCTTTACCTTTACCTAAGGTGCCTGGATTCCATCCACAGACATCTGCAAGACAGGTAGAATACCCAGAATGGGGGATTATGGAATATGCAGTCCGGAAAAATCCCATCCCAAGGCCAACCCAGTTTGAAGGCCTACAGTGAAGGAAACAGGTGTCACTTCTCTTCTCCCAACTCCCCCTGTGCCACTTCATTCCCGTATGTAGGTTGTCTCCTTATAGCACTGCTTCTGCGCAGGGACCTCTCCTATATAGGAAGACTCGACAAGTCTTTGAAGCCGATTGGAAGCTCCTCACACCTTCTCTCCAGCGTGGGTTCTCAGGTGTCTAGAAAGATGGGAGCTCTGGATGAAGCTCTTCCCGCAGCTGGTGCATTTGTACGGCTTGTCCCCCGTGTGAGTCCGCCGGTGCTTCAGGAACGTCGACTTATCATTGAAGCTCTTCCCGCAGTCGGCGCATTTGTACGGTTTCTCCCCCGTATGGATCCGGTGGTGCTGGTAGAGGTGGGCACTCCGGCGGAAGTCCTTGCCGCAGAAAATACATTTGTACGGCTTCTCCCCAGTGTGCAGCCTCCGGTGGATCAGCAGCCTCGAGTTCCACTGGAAACTCTTCCCACAGTCGGCACAGACATTTTTCCTCTTGTCCTTGAGACCTCCAGCATGGAGCATAGGGGTTTCACGGGGTTTGCTCTGGACCGCCCCTCTAGAATGATATTCGTCCAGCCGAAGCTTTGACTCGTTCGCCGTAGCTTCTCCCACAACCCAGTGCTGGGAAAAATTTTGCTCGGCTTCTCCCAGTGTAATCCTACGGACTTCCACTTTTTCTTCATTGTCCCACTGCAGGGGGTGCCATTCGTTTTCGTTGGCCTTCCTGCTAACTGTTGGGATAAACAGAGACTCTCAGGGCGACAGACAAGAGAGAGTTTTGAATCACAAAACGATAAGAGTTTTAAGAAGACATCTACTAGTCCACTTTATCCTGATCCACAAAGCCCGAAGGCAACAAGCATTCCTAGAAAGCTCCACAGCGTTTGGGTTATGATGAGAAAGATTCTTTTCTCTCCCTATAAGCCTACCTGGCTCCTGAAAATCCATGAAGCACAACTCAAGAGCATTGGTCGGGATCTGTTAGAGATGTGACGTTTGGACTTTCCAGGGTGACAAATCCCCAAATTCTCTGTTCTCGAAGTTCCGTCTGACAGATACACAACCTACAGAGACACCTACATTTTGCTCGCCTGGAGAAAGCTCTTGCTCAGAGGCTTCACGGCCTAACAAAAGCCAACTTCCTATTAAAAAAGGAAGTTGCCTCGGCCTCGCTGTTAGCTGGGAGATTCCCAGGCACTGTAGGGGTAGCTTATTCTTTTTTTTGGACAGTACGTTAGGCCATGTGAGGCCTTCTCCAGGTGAGCAAAATTTAGCTTTCTGTAGGTGTGGGTCTGTTGGGCAGAATTCCAGGGTGGAGAATTCTGAGATGTGTAATCTAAAAAATCCAAGAAGCATATGCCTATGATCTGAATAGCTACCCTGTTTCCTTGAAAATAAGTCCTAACCTGAAAATAAACCCTAGTATGATTTTTCAGGATGCTCATAATATAAGCCGTACCCCCAAAATAAGTCCCAATTAAATGAAACCTCGCCCTCCACCCTTGTGCAGCAGCCAGAAGAAGATGACATGACTATATTTTAATAAATGTAGATAGTTGTACATGAGAAAAATAAAACATCCCCTGAAAATAAGCCCTAATGCATTTTTGGAGCAAAAATTAATATAAGATTCTGTCTTATTTTTGGGGAAACAGGGTAAGGTTATAAGAACGATCCTTTACTCCCCATATAAGCCTGCCAAGCTCTTGAGATCTTTAGGATAAATCCTTATGTCATCCCCACAGCCCTCTATCTAGGGGACAAAGACACACATCTCTGTGGCTGCTTTCAGACTGTGGAGTTCCCTTCCAAGGAACAGAAGCTTCCTTTGGTGGCAGGCCAAGATTTTTTTTTTTAAATTCAGGCAGGTCTCTGGCTGCTGAGGATGGGACTGTGAACGCATGTGAGTGGGTATGTTAATTGTGCATTTATTTTTCTATCAATGAAGCTTATTTTTAACGTGTTCCTGCGTAATTCTGTTTTAATTTTACCACTTGCTGGACTTGACTTAGATGGATAGAGTTTAATTCATTCCATAAGCTGCTTTGGATCTCGCACAGGCAGGAAAGGCGAGGTGTTGGAACAAACAAACGGATGCAAGACCCAGAATTCCCCAGCAAGCATAACCTCTGGCAGCGGTCGATCTCATCAAAAACTCTCGGATCAGTAAATCATACCTAGCAAACTGGCATCTTCGACACTTTCCAGTTTGATTTCTCTGCCGGCTGGCCTGACCTCCATCTCCTGCTGTCCTTCTTTGGAGATCCTCATAGCCTGCTCCTCAACCGGCGCAGGGATCTGAAAGAGAAGGGACGGTTCATCAAGACAGAGCTATCACCTGGGCAAAGTCCCACAACTATAGAAAAGACAGGGGATTTTTATTATCCAACTCACCCTACTATCTTTGTAACTAAGCTCACAAGCATGGCCTGGAAGCAAAATGACTAAAGAGGCTGTTAATCTGGTTGTTCTGGGTTTTTCGGGCTCTTTGGCCGTGTTCTGAAGGTTGTTCTTCCTGACATTTCGCCAGTCTCTGTGGTTCTGTTTTAATTTTACTACTTGCTGGACTTTTAGCTGGATAGAGTTTAATTCATTCCATAAGCTGCTTTGGATCTCGCACAGGCAGGAAAGGCGAGGTGTTGGAACAAACAAACGGATGCAAGACCCAGAATTCCCCAGCAAGCATAACCTCTGGCAGCGGTCGATCTCATCAAAAACTCTCGGATCAGTAAATCATACCTAGCAAACTGGCATCTTCGACACTTTCCAGTTTGATTTCTCTGCCGGCTGGCCTGACCTCCATCTCCTGCTGTCCTTCTTTGGAGAACCTCATAGCCTGCTCCTCAACCGGCGCAGGGATCTGAAAGAGAAGGGACGGTTCATCAAGACAGAGCTATCACCTGGGCAAAGTCCCACAACTATAGAAAAGACAGGGGATTTTTATTATCCAACTCACCCTACTATCTTTGTAACTAAGCTCACAAGCATGGCCTGGAAGCAAAATGACTAAAGAGGCTGTTAATCTGGTTGTTCTGGGTTTTTCGGGCTCTTTGGCCGTGTTCTGAAGGTTGTTCTTCCTGACATTTCGCCAGTCTCTGTGGCCGGCATCTTCAGAGGACAGCAACCTGTGCTCTGGTGTAGTAGGCTTGGGAGTGCAGTATTTATGGCTGTGAGATAGGCTTTTGTCTTTTTCTGTAGATGGGTGATTAGTGTGTATTGTTGTGGGTGTATTGTTGTGCTAAGGGGAAGAGATTATCTGTTCCTGTGGTTGATGGGTGCCATTAGATGGTCTTTTGTGTGTAGTGATCCCCAGCTAATGACACCCACCAACCACAGGAACAGATAATCTCTTCCCCTTAGCACAACAATACAATTCCCCAAGGATACAGGGGTCATCCTGTACTCTCTTTCGGATTCTTGTGAGGATTGGATTGCCTCTAATTAAAGAGTCCTCATTTTGATTCCAGGTTATTTGTGAAGCCCCCCACCCTGAAATTTGCACAACATGTTTTTACATTTAAGCGGCAGGAATTTCATCAATTATCAGCAATTGGCCACTGCTGGTTACGTTATTTTTCCTTGTGCCTATGTAACGTATGCAAGAGGATTTTGGCCCAGGCAAGGGATATTTATAAAGGAAAAAGCAAATTGTGTTGTTTATATACTGCTCATAAGGTTTAAAGCTTTCCCTGGGCAGTTGCAACTTAATTCTTCAGGCAATACATTGCCCACACCCCCAGTGAGCTGCATACTCAATTTACCAGCCATGGAAGGTTGGGTCAATCTTGAGCAAGCTACTAGAGTCCGTCCAGATCGGTCATGAGCAGAGTTTTCCCTGCAGTACTGCAGTTTAACCACTGCATTACAAAGCTCTTTATTTCTATATTTCCGAGCAATTTACTCTACAGCTGAAAAGCACCTCAGAGCGACTTGTGTGGCAATGAAAGAAACAAATCAGGAGAGTCCCAAGCTTATAATGAAAAATGGCATGACATAAAATGAAGTGAGGAAGGGAAGAGGCGGGGGTGGGGGAAACCCTCAGCAAACTTTTCATGTCTTAGAGTTCCCCACTTTAGTGGGATAGCTGCTGGATGAAAGCTGGGAAGAGGTACAGGCTGGTGGGACTGCCATCTCAGGGTTACGAACGGGAATCCTGATTTCCTTTTCTCTCTCTTCCACAACCTGCAGGCTGAGGGAATTCCTGCAGACATCAGAGGGCCATAGTTCACATAATATAAAATTCCCATCTCTAGTTGTGGGTTCGAATCCCAGAAGGGTTCCTGGCACGTTTGAAACCCCATACTCGCAGCCCCATTAGTGCAGAGATAATAAAGCCTTCAGAAGCGGTTTCCCAGTTCCTCCTCTGGATGACTCTTCAGCTTCTCCACAAATGCAAACTACAATCTAAGAAAGCCTGGTTGCCCTTTAAAAGCAATTTTATTCCCTTTGCTTTAAATCCAGGGAGAACTTTTTTTTTCAAGAAAGAGGCGGTGACCAGCTGGCCCATTCTCATTTCTAAACAGGGATTTTCGGAGGGAGGGCCCTCCGAATCAACTGAGAGTAAGTAGCCTGGATGGCCATTTGACGGGAGAACTGCTTCAAGCAAGCTAGTACGGGATTTGAGAAGCCCAGGTATCTTCCTGGAATTTGAACCTGCAACCTGGTAGGGTATTTCTGTGTTTTGTGAGCAACAGCCTCCAGAAGTCTGCAGGAATTCCCTCAGCCAGAGTTCGGGGAAGTAGAGTCCATGAATCCTGAAAACCCCATGTGCGACCCACAATCTCCAGTTTCGTAGCTGGCCATTTTATATGGCAAGCCAACGGACCTTCGGGTTCACCTATTTTCCCGGGGGGACAGGAAATTACCTTTAAATGGTAATTTAATTCCACCAAATGGACTCTTGGCATGACTTTCTCAAATCCTATATTTTTGTTACCACTGATTAGGAAAGTCTACTTCGGTATTAGGGAACTACTTACTTACTTACTTACTTACTTGTTACCACTGATTAGGAAAGTCTGCTTCAGTATTAAGGAACTACTGATGTAGAACTGAAAGGCTTGGTGGATAAATTGGGCTGGGCGCCCGGTTCAAATGTCATCTCCCTCGTCACAAATACTTGCCGAGGGTGCCCTGAGGAAGCGGACATCTCTCAGCCTTCGACCTACTTCTGTAGAACTGAAAGGCTTGTTGGATAAATTGGGCTGGGCGCCCGGTTCAAATGTCATCTCCCTCATCACAAATACTTGCTGAGGGTGCCCTGAGGAAGCAGACGTCTCTCAGCCTTCGACCTACTTCACAAGAATGTCATAAAGAGTGCAACCGTGTGTAATTTAAACTCTAACAATAATCCTATGCCGTCAAGTCAATTCTGACTTACGGTGACCTTTTTTTATAATTACTGTTTTCCAGGTAGAAAATTCTCAAGCATAGTTTGTCCTTCCCTTCTTCTGGGAGTATCTTGAGACTCTGCAGCTTGCCCAAGGATACTCAGGCTGGCTCTCCTCCAGGAAGGCCCAGTGGGGGAATCGAACCTCCAACCTCCGGCTCTTCAGTCAGTGACCTAAACTACTGAGCTATCGAGCCAGCTTTTTTTAAAAAGCCATATATAAAAGTTATATATATATATATATAAAAAAAAGCTGGATTCCGAAGGGGCAGAGGAACTAGAGACCAAACTGCTAACATTCGCTGGATTATAGAGAAAGCCAGAGAGTTCCAGAAAAATATCTACTTCTGCTTCATTGACTATGCAACAGCCTTTGACTGTGTGGACCACAGCAAACTATGACGAATCCTTAAAGAAATGGGAGTGCCTGACCACCTTATCTATCTCTTGAGAAATCTATATGTGGGATAGGAAGCAACAGTTAGAACTGGATATGGAACAACTAATTGGTTCAGTATTGGGAAAGGATTACGACAAGGCTGTATATTGTCTCCCTGCTTATTTAACATATGCAGAATACATCATGTGAAAGCCTTGTAATGAGGGTGAAAGAGGAGAGCGCAAAAAATGGTCTGAAGCTCAATATCAAAAAAATGAAGATCATGGCCACTGCTCCCATCACCTCCTGGCAAATACTGTAGAAGAGGAAGACATAGAGGCAGTGACAGATTTTACTTTCCTGGGCTCCATGATCACTGCAGATGGAGACAGCAGCCATGAAATTAAAAGACGCCTGCTTCTTGGGAGGAAAACCTAGACAGCATCTTTCAAAGCAGAGACATAACTTTGCCAACCAAGGTCCGCATAGTCAAAGCTATGGTTTTTCCAGTACCGATGTATGGAAGTGAGAGCTGGACCATAAAGAAAGCTGACCGCCGAAGAACTGATGCTTTTGAATTGTGGTGCTGCAGTCCAGGGCGCTCTTGAGAGTCCCCTGGACTGCAAGGAGATCAAACCTATGCATTCTGAAGGAAATCAACCCTTAGTGTTTACTGGAAGAACAGATCCTGAAGCTGAGGCTCCAATACTTCGGCCATCTCATGAGAAGAAAAGGCTCCCTGGAAAAGACCATGATGTTGCAAAAGTGTGAAGGCAAGAGGATGAGATGGTTGGACAGTGTAATCAAAGCGACCAACATGAATTTGACCCAACTCCAGGAGGCAGAGGGCCTGGCATGCTCTGGTCCATGGAGTCACGAAGAGTCGGACATGACTTAATGACTAAACAACAACGACAACAACAATAAAAGTGAGCTGTGATTGTTACCTGCAGTTTCTGCTTCTCCTTCTCCAGGAACTCTTCTGCCAGAGCTACTGCTTGGGAACAAGTCTCAGGGTTTCTCTCCCGGACCCAGGTTTGCATTTCTGGGGGCAGGATGGTCAGGAACTGTTCCAGGATCAAGGCTTCCAGGATCTGCTCCTTCGTGTGCTGCTCAACTTTCAGCCACTGGTGGCAAAGGCCCTGCAAGTGGTGACACACCCCCTTCGGCCCCTCAGCCTCCCGGTAGCAGAAACGCCGGAAGTGCTGGCGTTCCTTCTCCCGCCTCATGGCGTCCCTTTGCAAGATGGTCGCCTTGACCTTCCCATAATCCCCTCTGTCCCCAACTTCCATCTTTTCAAAGGCCTGCTTGGCTTCTCCCGCCAGGGCTGGGAAGAGCCGGCTCACCCAATCCGCCTTGGGCCACCGGCACGCCTTGCCCACTTGCTCAAAGGAGGCCAAGAAAGCTTTGGGGTCGTCCCACGGCGTGGGTTCCTCTGGCAAGACCGGGACCCCACACCCTGAGCAAGGGGCCTCCCTGGTCTTTAGCAGCTCCTCCTCCGCCTGACACTGTGTTTCCCAGCACGGGGTCAGCGGCTCCTCTGACTCCTGCTTTACCTTCAGCCCTCCGTCCCATCTAGGGAAGTCCACCGTCTGGCCAGTGGCGGAAACCGGATCCTCTTCCTTGATTCCTTCCAACCGGATCCTGGGTTGGGCCCCTGCTCCAGCATTTTCTCCAGCCTCTGTCACGACACTGCGCCCTGGGCCAAACGCAGCCATTCTTTCCCGATTTTGGCAAATAGCAGCAATTTTTTAAAAAAGGGGGATGGGGTGTTTGCTTACAAAGGAGGGGTGAAGGGAGGTAACCAAGTCTCTTCGCAAAGACAGATGGATTTAGCACGGCCAGAATGTTCCTAGACAATACCCAATACCACTCTGAACAAATCTTGACTGATTCTGGAAGCTAAGCAGGATCTGACCTGGTTGTTACTCAGAAGGAAGGTCACCAGCGAGGGGGGAAAAATCCTGTAGAGACAACTCTAGAGTTGACAGTACTGGTCCACACACACCAATGCTCTCGTGCTATATAAGGCAAGTTCATAAGTCCCTACTTTTCCAGATGCCTGAACCTGATGCAGACATGTACGTACGCAGAATAATCATCTTATAATGATCTTGGAACTGCAGAGATGGAAGGGACCCTAAGGGATGATCGAGTCCAGCCCCTGACAAGAGAGGCACCCCGGGGGAATTGAACTCCCAACCTTTGGCTCTGCGACCAGATCCGTAAACCCACTGAAACTAGGAAGTTCAGAACACAATCCGAGGGCGGGAATCTGGAATCAAGAGATGTAGCCAAAGGGCTCCACACTCAAGCAAAAAAATCCAGTTAAGACTAGTTAAAAGTTAAAAGATTATATCCTTTCCCCCCCCTTTCCTATCCAGGAGGGGCTCCCCAGAAAGATCCTGGAGGGGGGTGGACCCCGCCTTTTTTTGGGGGGGGGAGAAATGAGAATATTTCCTTGCCCAGGAAGGTGAAAAATGCTTGAAGCGCTGGTGTTTTTTTACCCTGAAGTCGTGGGATCACCTAAGAAACCCGGAGGTGGTGGGTTCGAATCTTGCAGAAGCTCCAGGCATGTTCCAAAGCCCATAGAAGCTGGTTTTTCTCACTGCCTCCTTCCGGAATGAAGGCGTCCTCCGAATCAAACAGCACTCTTGGGGTTCCTCCCTCTCCTCGCATTCAAAGCTACCACGGCTTCGCTCCCAGCAAATAAAAGTGGAGAATGTGGGGGGGTGGGGGAAAGAGACAGGAAGTGGGACTTCCCCCAGGAGTTACATTCTCTTCCGGCTCCATCCCAAGTTTCCTGCTGGTCCTTTCTAGGCATGGACCAAGTTGTCTGTCTTAACCCTTCAGGGACTGGCCAAAAAATAATAACAATCAGCGAACCCGGAGTAAGAATCTCTTTGAATTCCCTGGTTTTCCATTCCCACCGATCACTGGTTTAAAAAAATTACCCCATAGACTTTTACTGATTCTTTAAAATAAAAACAACATTTTATCTAAAATATTCAAATTATTTTCCTTTTGGTTTCTATCAGTCCTTTTTTGCGCTTCCTAATCAGGAGACTGGCTTGAAACTTTATTATATCCATAATAATTCACAATAATAAGCGGCAATCGGAGCAGCCCACCCGAAGGGGCAACCTGTGTGTGCGACTTGCAAGAGACACGTTTTATTGTGTGGAATCGTGGAGCTGAAAAGGATCCCAGGGGTCATCTAGTCCAACTCCACAGAGAAGCCAGATATTTACCTTTTTGGCTTCTCTCTTAAGTCGATCGGGGCTGAAGACGAGATGGATTTGAAAGGAAGGACTCATTTAAATGGAGATCTGGTCTTTGCATTAAACGGCATTCCCATCTGTTTTTCTCTACCTGCATTTTGGCAACATCTTTAAGGAAGAGATCTGCAGATCTCGAAAGCTTGCACGCAATTTTGAACATTTTTAAAATTGTTGGTGGCTTAATAAAGGTATACATGGATTTTTGTTTCATGTCCAGAATGGCTGTCTCTATATTTTGTACTTCTCACAAACGCACAAAAAATAAGAAGAACTTTTAGGGACCGAGATGCTTCTGCCCAAAGGTTAGAAATGCTAAATCTTTGGACTACAACTCCCAGAATCCTCAGTCAGCGTGCTGGCTAAGCATTCTGGGAGTTGTAGTTTTAGAGGCGGCGGACTCAACCTTTCTCTTCAAACAGGGCTGGCTGTCTAAGTGGGGTTTTTTAATAGTGTGTTGTGACTTGTCGCTTTCAATCTATTTTTGTTTTGATTTTTGATTTTGTTTACCATTTTAAATTCTTTTATATATCTGTATACTATCTGGTTTTAGCTTTTAAATATTTTCTTCTAATGACAGGCGCAGCCTTGGGTCCCTTTTTAAGATGAAAGGCAGGGTGAAAATATTTTAAATAAACAAATTAATCAAAACCTTTCCAAGGGGGAAGACAACAGCTGAATGCCTCTGACCATGTAAAGAGTGCCATTCCGTAACCTTTCAGGAGGAGACTTTTTTTTAATTGGGTGTAAAAACAAAGGAACTCCGGGCATGCATGCAGTACCTTTCCATTTAGAAGCAGTTACTTGAATTACTGGGAAACATGAAGGGCTCTGAAATCTGCAGATCTTACCTCCTCAACTCCCCACAAATAACTGTTATTTACACACATCCAGCAGCCTAAAGAGGTCTTTGTTCTGAAGTATGTATATTCTTTTCTGTTATACTAAAGCAGAGCCCTGACAGCAGTGTTTCTGAGCTGAGCGGATCCAGGCTCACCCGTGGATGCCGAAAAACGCAGTTAATAGCAAACACTTATATAATAGTTATGTATATAGCATGGTCTCTGGCTCCCTTGAGTGTTCAGTTCTGGTAACTTCATCTTTAGAAAAATATACAGTATTTCTAGGAATTTTCTTTCAATATTTTAAATATTTTCACACTGTGGATAAGAGAATCAGCAGATACTGAACCCACAGAGAAGATGGTCCTACTGTATTCTGCCCAAACAGTGTTGTTGCACCTCCCGCCAATTTTTTTAAAAAAACTGGTTAGTGCTCTCGATAGTCCCCAGGTTGTCATTTTGTGTATGTTTTTTCTGTGTTTTTGTTTTCAGCTTCCACCAGAACCCATCATACCAGTTTTCCAGATGCCGTCTCAGCCTTAAGACATGTTCATGCATCAAGCATGAGTAACTAATTGATAGGTTTTTTTAAAAACTTGATAGTTCTTTTTTATTGCCTTTTCTTCTGCATGGCATTGGAGTGCCTTATATTTAAGTACTATAAAATATGTAATTGTAATGATAAGCTAATCGGGTTTTTTTTTAATTTCAGAGTATTAGGCAGTGCTTTGCAACCTTGAGTTCCCAGATGTTCTTGGTTATTGTTAAGGGCGATTATAACTTTTAGGTAGCGGATCAGGCACAGCCTTTCTGCAAACTTCTACCTAATGGACAGCGGCTGAAATCCAATTGCTCTTATGTTAGGCCGTGTAAAGCTTGTGATGTCATCGGCCTTAGGTGGTGTAACTTGTAAGTAACAGGATTTCAGCCTCTGTGCATTTGGGTCATACATCCCAGCATGTTATTGCTTAGAACCGAGATGGTTAGAAAAATGAAGAGATACACATCGATTCTTGTACGTATTGAGGCCAAAATGGTGAAGAAGAAGGAAATACGTTCTATATCAAATGGCCGTCTTTAACCCTTTCAGGGCACTCTTCTTCTGAATATTGTCAACATATCCTGCTGACTCCACAAACTGCAAATTCCATTCTGTCCTGTCTGGATTACACCATTTCTTGACTGGAGAAGAGAAGCCCTTCCTTTCTTTACTTTTCCTCTTCAAGATTTTATTTATTTATTTATATCCCGCCCATCTGATCAACTGACTACTCTATTACCCCAATAAGCTTCAGTGGAGATAGCCCTGTTAATATACGCTAGCATATTGGACAAAAACAAATCAAAAACCAACAAAAAATAAAGAAGACAAAAACACTGTGGCACCTTAAACCACTTAACTGCTATATTGGTCATCTAGCACAACTGTTGCCACAATTGTCACCTCTCCCCTGCCCCAAAATCGTGATAGCACAGTGGTTAACTTGCAGTCAAGACTCAGAGGGACTAGAGGTTCACTCAGCCTTCCGTCCATCCAAGGTCAGTAGATTTAAGCACCCAGCTTGCTGGGGGGGGGGGCAGGTAACGTGTAGCTTTATTTGCTAGCGGGCTTTGCTTTTTGCTTTACAAATATCCCTCCTCTGTGGCCTGCCTGTACGTTACGCAGGCATAAGGAAAACAACACCATCAGCCGTGGTCGATGGCGGACAATTGACGGAATTCCGGCTGCTTAAGTGTAATCTCATTGGATGCAAACTGGGGGACCTCGCCTAGAATCAAAACGAGGACTCTTTAATTAGAGGCAATCCAACACATGCAAAAATCCAGAAGAAAATTTTAAGCACGATCAGTCACTGGGAGGTGAGAAGGGCATTTAGCACAGATAAGCAGATACATCCAAGTAGAGGATGATGAAAAGATTTTGCCCAATCTCCGTGTAAAAATACAACTTCTGTGAGTACAGGATTGTTAAGCAAAAGGGCCAGAAAAAGATAGACATGCAACAGTTACGGGAAATGAGAATTGCCTGAACAGTGGTTGTAAACTTGTTGGGATCACACACATGCATATAAATGGCTTTAGCCAGCTGATGTGCCTGACACGTGCCAGACATTCGATCACAAGGGCAACCGGGCACATGACCATCGGGTAGCCACACAAGGTCAACATGATTCTTCCCGAGCATGTACAAAATTCCAGCAGTTTTTGGTCACTGGCCATTCACATATGTCTAATGAGTAATACAAGAGTAGCTGTCTGCTGGAAGCTCAAGAGACAAGTGTCAGCTTAAATTTCCCAGGAAGGGAATAAAACGCGGTTGTCTTTTAAGAAGCCTCAAAAGTGTGATTTTATCATGCTGAAGGCTGACCTATTTTTCTTTGCCTTTTAAAAATTCATTTTAAGTTCCAGTCCTGTACTTGCTCACCTGGGACACATTCCGCTGAACCTCTCAATGCAGGCATTTGTCCCATTTTGCCCCGAACCATATATTTTTGAATCCCTATCAGGGGTTCTACTATTCTGATGTAGGCTGGACTGTTTCAGTTTAGTCTGTTCCCAACAAGCGTGGTCATTTGGAACAGACTAATCTAGAACCTGGCAGCTCTTTCTGGTGCCAATTACTGGTGAATACTTCCCCTGATCGTCCGCGGAGGATCAGGGGAAGTGAAATTGTTTTTGATTGCTAGATGGTTGTTGATGCAATGAATCACTTTGATTAAATTTAAAAAACATTTTTTCTCTGCCTGTCTGTGTACTGCCGATTGAGACCATGGCTGCAGGCAATTCCTCAAACAGGAATACACAGAAAGTCAAAGAAAAAAATTTAATTGAAGTGTTTCGTCAAAGCAGTGACCATCTAGCAAAAGTTAAAAAAAATAATTTCACTTCCCCTGACCCTCCACAGATCATCAGGGGAAGCATTTAATTCCCCACTGTGCCTCCTTGACAGGGGCTGGATGTGATACCTCCTAGGGTCCTTTCCAGCTCTGCAGTTATAAGATTTATTTCTTTATTTTAATTTATACCCCACCTATCTGGACTACCAGACCACTCTAGGCGGCTAGATGATGATGATGATTGTTTGACATGGAGGTTCGTATGCCATTTGGATGGGAGGAACTCACCAAATGGCACATCACTCCTTCCCCCACCTCAACTCGCCCTTTGCAGCTATGATGATGATTTGACATGGAGGTTGGTATGCCATTTGGATGGGCATACCATCCAAATCGCACATCGCTCCATCCCCCACCTCAACTCGCCCTTTGCAGCTCGATCCAGCCCATATCAAAATGGCCAGTCTGGATAGGCCGTCAGTTGGACTTACTTCTGAGTAGACATGCATTTGACTGCACCCATTAAGACTCCAAAGCAATCATACCATGGAACTGAAATGTACGCATGAAATCAACAGCTCAACAAGCTGTTCTAAAAATCACCAGTTGGCTTTCCCCAAGAACACTTACACAACGATCAAAGCAAGTAAATTTTAATAGAATACTGTAAGGTGGTTTGTTATGGAATACAAAGTTTTATTTTCATGTCTGAGAGAAAATCTACCCAACTCCATAAAACAACTTTTTTTCTTCTTTTTAAAAAATCCAATGAATGCCATAAAGCACCAAAACACCGAATAAAACTATAAAACTCTGAAAGCAACAGACGCCAAAAAAATTTGCTTTTGAATCTTGGCGACGAGCAGTGCGTCACAGAGCGACACTCTTAGGGCTCGACAATGGCCAGGGTGGGCACCCGAATGCTACCTTCTCCCATTCCAGGCACCATTTTGGATAATTTTTCCAGCCAAGCAAAGAACTTTCTTGTGCAAGCAGAATTTACTTGCACAAAAGTAAGTTGTTTACTTTTGCAAGCAGAGATTTGCTCAAAGACCAAAGGGATTTGCTCAAAGACCATGGATCACCCCCTCTAGTCAAAAAATGAGAGGCCTCAGTAGGTGCAAAGCCTACACTTACTTCGGGCCACTCAAAACAGATCTATTATTTTTGTCATCTCTGGGAATGTTGCATGTACAGGCTCAAGCCTATATTGCCTCTCTGGTTACCGACAGTAATGTGGGTTTTGCGGTTGGTTCGCAAGCGTTAAACCACACAACCAGCTCAGTTATTTTGTATGGGGAAGCTGGCTAAATTGAGTTATAATCCGTCATAATAGAAGGACTTCCAATGTCGCTACCCTTATACAAGAAAATCTAACTTTTACTGATTAAACCACATTTTGCTGTGGGTTCCCAGAGGAAAGATGGACTAAGTCAACAAGAAGCATTAGAAATACCCTTCTAAAAAGATGGAAAATTTTGCCCGGGTGAGCCAGCTAAACTGTAAAAAAAAAATTGGATGCAAATAGTAAAAATATTCTACTTATCACCACCCTTTATCTACAAAATGTTCCTGTTTATAGAGATGGGCACAAACCACCGGCTATGCCTGGTTCGTTTATCAGTCAAACAGGTGTTTAGTGTTTCAAAGCCGTGCCCACTCAAAGGCAGCACCCTGGCTTCCTTGCCCTGCCTCCTCTGGGCGCTGCCCCTGAATGGGTTCCTGCTGGGGGAGGCAGGGCTGAGAAGCACCAAATACCTGTTTGGCCACTAAGCGAACTGCCACGAACCGCCAAATCAGCAGTTCGTGCCCATCTCTATCCCATTTCCATTTTCTCTCCCCTGCCGCCCAGCTGATCAAAACCTGGAGGAGCTCTTCATGTGCTCCATTTGGTGTTGGTCACGCCACCACTTGCGGTCAAACCCTTCCCCGCAGTAGGAGCACTCGTGGGGCTTCCGGCCCACGTGCCGGCACTCGTGGCGAGCCAGCTCGGATCTGAAGCAGTAGCCCTTGCCGCAGAAAGAGCAGGTGTACCGCTTCTCCCCCGTGTGGCACATCTGGTGGCGGCGGAAGCTGGCCAGCCCGTTGAAGGTGACGTGGCATTCCGGGCAGGTTTTGACTGTATGCTGGAGGGCCTCGTTCTGGAGGAAACGGGACGTCCTCCGTTTCACCACAATTTTTGGGAGAGAAGAAGGAGACGGCGGCGTTGGTGACGGCAGCGGCGGAGCGGAGGGGAAGGTCTCGACTGGGCGCAGGGGGCGGCCTCTCCTCAGCGGCTGCGAGAGGCGACATTCCAGGGTTTGCCCTCTTTGTTTCCAGCGGTAGGGGAGCACCGTATTTGCTCTTCCTGGAAAGCGGGCTCTCAATCTGGCTTCTCCATAGCGGGCCCACTGCAGGTACCCCTTCTTGCTCACGCTAGTCTGCTTGTAACCTGTTGGAAAGAAGACAGGAATTCTCACAGGCCCTAGTTCCATCCTGCCTGGATTTATCGATGATCACACAAGTCCCCGGTCACAACAGCTCCACCGGCTGCCGGTCCACTGCTGGGCACAATTCGAAGTGCTGGTTTCGGCTTATAAAACCTTAAACAACTTGGATCCAAGCAAACTGAGAGACTGCATTTCCCTTGATCAGCCTACCTTAGGTTTTTAAGTCGTCTTTCTCTTGTTCCTGCCACCCTCACAGGTGCCTCTGGTGGGGACACAAGAGAGCACCTTCTCTGTGGTGCTTCCCAGACTGGAACTCCCTCCCACTAGAGGCCAGGCTGGCCTCCTCTTGGCTGTCCTTCTGCAAGGAGGCCAAATGACCTTTCTCTTTAGGCAGGTGTTCTCTTGAGCCACAGGCTCCCTAAGACTTGCACTATGTTTTTTTTCCTTTTTACAGTGGTGCCTCGCATAGCGACGTTAATCCGTGCAGCAAAAATAGCTGCTAAGCTATGTGATTTTAGAAAGCCCATAGAAATGCATTAAAACCTGTTTAATGCGTTCCTATGGGCAAAAAAATGACCTTAAAGCGAAGATCCTCCATACGGCGGTCATTTTCGCTGCCTCTTAAGCGAGGAATCCGTGCGAAAACCCAGTGGGCAGCCATTTTTTTTACCCGGCGGCCATTTTGGAACTGCCGATCAGCTGTTAAAAAATCATTGCTTTGCGATAATCGGTAAGCGAAACAGGGAACCGATCATCGCAAAGTGAAAAAACCCATTAAAAACATCACAATGCGATCGCAAAAAGTTAATTGCTATGCGGTTTCGTCACTAAACGGAGCGCCCGTTAATTGAGGCACCACTGTAATTGTTTTTTCCCCTTCCCCCTTCCAGTTTCATATTGTTGGCTTTTAATATCGTAAGCCACCTTGGGTCCTCTTGAAGAGAAAGGCAGACTATAAATATTTTAAATAAATAATCGACACAGAGAAAGGCGTTCTAGAATAGATTTCCTTCCAGCCACATTTGGCTTCAATTGATTTTCTGATCAAGAAAAAAAAGCCTAAATTAAAACTTCATCTTTGCTTATGTAACAGCAGTGGTGTTTTTACTGTGGTTCTGTTTTAAACGGATTCACGAGACCCCTTCTCTGCCTCAACTAGGGCTGAGGACAAGGGTTTGGTTGTGCAACCTGCCTAGAGATAAGCATGAACGACTGGTTTGGCCCAGTTCGTTTACGGCCACAAGAGATGTTTGGCGGTTCGGTGGTCCACCCAGAGAAGCTGGGACATTGTTTCTGAGTGGACGCCTGTCAAACCACCCAACACCAACTGCGGAGGTAAAGAAACCAGGATGAACCACCAATCTATAAAACTGTCTTTTAGGTCTGCAGACAGGAGAGCTGTGTAAATGGATAGCTTGCCCGATCTTTGTTCCTCTGAGGCTCCGTAGCTTCCCATCTCGGAAACCTTCTCTCATTGCAAAGATTACAGGTGCAACATCAGGATTCAGTGGGTCTCACTTCTCGGCAGATATGTGCAAAGCAAGTGTACCACGAAACACAAAACCAAGCACTAATTGGCTTTCCTCAAGAATCGAGAAAGTCTTCCTTCCCCTCACCCATTAAAACTTAAATGTTAGGAAAAAGCAGTAGGAAAGGAGGAAGACTGAAAATAAAATGGACTGACTCCATAAAGGAATGAACGACCTTGAATTTGGAAGATCTGAGCAGGGCTCTTAATAAGAGGACCTTTCAAAGGTCACTCAATTCACAGGCTTACCGTGAAGTTGGAAGGGAAGGAAGGCAGACAACGTGTTCCATGTTTGAACTGGGACTTTGGCTTTGAGATCTTAATTGTACTGTTATCCAGGGAGGCGGCCAGAGAGCTTGGAAAAGGTGGTATTTTGCGACTATAATTCCCAAGTCTACATAGCTATTCCGGTATGTGAGTGTGTGTTTACACAGAGAGGGAGAGAGGATGATGCCTATATCCTGTTTGGTTCCGACACAAACCCATGGATGCTGAAAACCACAAATAGCAAATGCTATTCACAGCACAGTAAATAAAATAACAAAAAGAGAGATTACTTACCTGTAACCATGGTTCTTCGAGTGGTTCTCTGTGAATCCTCACAAATGGGTTTTACTGCGCCTGCTCAGGACTCCGCGGAATGTTCTAGAGCTTTAAAAGGCGTGATTAGTAGGACGTTGCCCCGTGGCGCGCATGCTCCGCCCGCCAATATTACCTCAGTTCCCAATGTCCACCACTGTCAAAGCTCTGACCCCCACAAAGCTCACGACAACAAGTGACGGACAGCGGGGAGGCTAGGCGGGATGGGTGGATTCACAGAGGACCACTCGAAGAACCATGGTTACAGGTAAGTAACCTCTTTTTCTTCTTCGTGGCCTCTGTGAATCCACACAAATGGGTGACTAGCAAGTTCACTTACCAGAAAGAGGGCCGTCACACCAACAACAAAGTTGGCACAGCCCTTCTGAAGCCTGCTTCCTTCTTGGCCCTGACACCAAGACAATAGTGTGTCACAAAAGTCGAGGGTGTAGACCAAGTGGCCGCTCGAAAGTTGTCAGGGACTTCGACGCTACGCAACAAGGCCGTAGACGTTGCCACCACTCTAGTGGAGTGTGCCTTTAGCATCTCTGGCGGAGTCTTGCCTGCCAATTCGTAAGCCAACGTAATGGCCAAGATAATCCACCCTGAGAATGTCTGTGAGGAGGCAGGAGAAAACCCTTTCACGGGCCATGGAAACAGACAAAAAGTCTGGGAGAAACACGGAAGTCCTTGGATCTGGAAATATAAAATGCCAGAGCACAACGAACATCAAGGGAGTGGAGCATGCGCTCAACATCAGAAGATGGATTAGGGAATAACGTCGTTGATTAACGTGGAAATCAGATATCACTTTAAGAAGGAAAGACACATCCAGATATAAAACAACCTTGTCAAGAAAAAACTGAATATAAGGGGCATCAGCCCAAACAGCGGCCAGTTCACTTGCTCAGCATGCAGAGGTTATCGCCACAAGGAACAAAGAAAGTCTTAATAGAGAGGAATTTGAGGTGCACAGAAGCCATGGGCTCAAATGGAGGACGAGTTGATGCACGGAGAACGACCTGAAGAAACCACTGAGGAAGTTGAGGTCAAGTAGGTGGGCGCATGTTTCGTAATCCTCTCAAAAAAACTCTTTAATGTAGGATGGGAAAACAAACGGGAAGTTTCAGATCCTTCAGGTTGGTATGACACCATCGCAGAAATATAAACCTTTAACATTGAATGGGACAAACCTTGGTCAAACAGATAACGAAGGAACTTAAGAAGGGTATCCAGGGAATTTGGGACCGTAGGCCATTTCTGGGATGCCACAAATTTAAGGAAAAAATTCCATTTATATGAGTAAAGTAGTTGGGTAGAGGGCTTCCTTGCTCTATTCCAAGATTTCAGCCACGTTGGGAGAATTCTCCATGCAGTGAGGTGTAGAGAGAGCTGAGATCTGGATGGAAAATCCGACCCTCGTCCTGAGTGAGGAGGGAAGGTTGAGATGGTAATCTGAGAAAGTCGGAAGCCATGGTTCTGAGAGTGGTGAACCACGGTTGACGAGGCCACCTCGGTGCTCTCAATATGGCATCTCAATCCAGCTGACGGATCCTGATTATCGTCCTCTGGATGAGCGGAATTGGTGGAAACAGGTAAAATAGAGCGTCATCCCAATCTACCATGAGGGCGTCAGCTAGAGAGCTTTCACCTCTCCCTGCTCGCGAGCAATATCTGCTACACTTGGTGTTGGTCTGAGTGGTGAAGACATTGAGACCTGGCTTGCCCCAACGACTGCAGAGAAGGGAGAAGATGGTGTCGTTGAGAGCCCATTCGTGAGTCTGGGTGGTAATACAACTCGGGCGGTCACCAATTTCGTTGTCCTCTGTAGCAACATGGAAGAGCCACTGGAAAGATGCGGTGATTGTAACACCATTCCCACAGCTGGATCGCTAGATAGAGAAGATGTAAGGAGTGGGTGCCACCCTGTTTGTTGATGTAATACAGGGTGGTCATATTGTCCGTGATGACTTGGGACCCCGCAACCAGCTATGAGGAATCGGAAAGCTCGGAAAGACTTGATGACTGCTAACAGCTCTAGCTGATCGTCCCTCTGAGCTTGACCACAACGCGTGGATCTGTGGATGACCACAGTGTGCACCCTATCCCGTCGGACTGGCATCCGTTGTTGTGAGGCCTGAATGGGCGGCCTACCAGGAGGTGGGGGACGAATGGCCACCAAGTTAGTTGACGAGCCAACTCTGGAGTCACAGGGAGACGCTTCGATGGATGGCCTATCGGAGGGTCGAACTGGGACAACTACCATGGCTGTAAAGACCTCATCTTCAGTCTCGCATGTTTGAATGATCGATGCAGTTGATGCCATCAGACCCAACAAGTGTTGCGTATGGTGAGCGGGGACGGTGCTGCAACGCAAGAAAGGGCGTCTGGCTTGCCTTAATTTGATTATTCGTTCTGGAGGGGTAAACACCCTGGCTACAGTAGAATCGAGATGTGCTCCAATATAATCCACGGTTTGAGATGGCTGCAGGTAAGAGTCCTTCTGGTTGGAGTTGATGATCGAGCTCCGCTAAAGTCTGTAAAAAGTGGTGTCCCTGATGGCTGCGCTGTATGATTTTGCTGCTATCAGCCAGTCGTCTATATACGGGAACCACTGTGATGTTGTGTAGCCGAAGGTAGGCAGCGACTGGAGCCATCCACTTTGTGAATGTCCTTGGAGCGGTAGAGAGGCCGAAGGGAAGAGTGGAGAATTGGTAGGCAGTATCCATGAAGAAGAATGGAAGGTATCCAAAATGGTTTTGGTGAACTGAAATGTGGAAACAGGTGTCTTAGAGATCTATAGCCACAAACCAATTGCCTGGTTGGAGTAGAGGGAGGACTGATTTGAGGGTGTTCAGCAGTCACAGGTCTAAGACAGGGCAGAGTCCTCCATCCTTTTTGGGCACCATGAAGTAGCGTGAGTAGAACCTGTTCAGGACGTTTGGGGGGAAGCACCCTCTGGACAGCACACTTTTGAAGGAGGAGTGAAACCTCGTCAGGCGAGTACGCTGTAGGTCTGACATGACTGAGAGGAGGAATTTCCTTGAATTCCAGCAAGTAACTGAAATGTATGACGGTGAGCACCCAAGTGTCCTTGGCGATAGTGGACCACTTGCTGAGAAAGGGCACTAGTCAGAGAAGATGATGATAGACCGCTGGAGTAGAGTCAAAGGTATTGTTTGATCTTCCTCGTAGGTCAACGGAAACCTTGTCTACGCTGAGCAGGGACCTGTGATCAGAAAGGCGGAGCAGCGGAGGACGCCTGAGTAAAGCTGGATCTCTCAGGAGCCTGAACCGGAGGTTTGTATGGGCGGCAAGGATGTTGGTAAGACTGGTGAAATGTAAAAGGTTTCCGCCACTGATTGCGCTGGTACCTAGGTTCTCCTCAAGGCAAAAGAGGAAGCCATAGATTTTGAGGCAGCGCCAGCCGTGTCCACCAGATGCCAGGCGCTGCTGCTTGGCTAAAGTTGTGGCTTCCAGATGAGTATTTAGAGCTGCAGATCTGACTCTTTGGGGGCAGCTTGAAGGATAGGAAGAATCTTGTTCCACAGCTGCCCATGATAAGCACCCATCGCAACATGGTAACTTGATACCCTCATCACAAAGGAAGCAAGAGAATACAAACAGCGTCCCAGTACGTCTAATTTTCTTCCTTCCTTATTGGTAGGGGTAACAGAGGATCGATTGCCCACTCCTGATTGATTTGATTGGACAATAATCGAATAAGGTGTCAAAAATGATATGAGTGCAGTAATGATTCTCCGCATGTCTTGAGATTTGCAAAGGGGAAGGTTTATCCCAAGACTCCTTGATCATACCCAGCATAGATGGGATGAACGTCAAATGTAATGGAGACAATGTCTCCTGATTAATGTCCTCAAGAACAAGATCATTTTTGGGAGGGGGTGGTTGTTCTGTGTCCAGTTCAAGAGATTTAGCCATACATAGAAGAAGCTGAGCATAGGAAGTGAAATCCTGACGGAGACGGGGGAATGAACATCAGCAACCTCAGAATCTGGAGTTGGCAGGTTCAATGGCGATTCCCTGGATGATATGGAGGGAGAAATGCGATCTGACCCGGTCAATGCTGAAGAGGCACTAGAAATAGACAAGAGCTGGAGAAGGAGAACGGTGGTGATCCCGAGAAGAAACCAGAGGGGTTGTTTGAGGGATCTGATGGTCAGAACGGGACCGGGATGCAGAAACAGACTGGTGCGATGTAGGGACTGTTGATATTTCAGAATGACGTCTCGCAGGAACAGTTTCATGTTGAATAGCCCTATTTCAAGACGGAACATGATCCAGATGCTGTTTTTTAGTAATATGCTTAGATGTTTTTTTTAGATATTTGCACCATAGGAGCAGGCTCGTAGGTGGCTCGGTGCTGACTCCGAACCGGAGGTGGTGGCGGCGACCGAGAAGACTCAGAGAGAGTATAGGCGTACCGAATATGCTTAGGATGTTCATAGTATTCAAATACAAGCCTAGGATCAATGTGGCCGTATCGGTATCGATGCCGATCACTGTGATGCTCGATATCATAAGGAGGCTCGTCGTACTCGGGAAAGGCACGGCTTCGAGACGGATGTGGGAGAAACACCACTTCGCGGTATTGTGGAGACGGGGAGATATGTCGCCTCTTCGCTGTTCTCTTCCGCAGAGGAGAATGAGATATCGACACCTCCGAGTTTGATAAATGTATGACAGTTGCCCGCCTGGTAGAAACAGGGCTAGAATGGGCCGAGGCTGGGCTGGACGTAACATCAGCCTCTGGATGGCCATGACTTGGCGACAAACTCGGTCGCGAGACCGAAGGTCGGGCTCGAGCTGGAAGGTTGGATTCTCTAGCCTCAGGAAGGGAGCCTTGTTCTGGGGTGTCTCTGGATGATTCCTCCAAAATGGGTGACGGGAGGGAGCTCTGCACTACTGGAGGCTCAGGAGGATGATGGGGTTTCGAAGGTTGTTTGGTTTTCTTCTGTTTAGTTTTATCCTTATCCTTTTTCTTAGTGCCAGATTGGGTCTTTGTGGAGACCGAAGAAAACTTCGACATCGAAGGCGATTTCGGCTTGCTGGAGGACCTCAGTGACCGGGACAGAAGAGCCGTGGAGGACCCAGAGCAAGCCTGTGGAACTGGGGTGAGTTCCACAGATGGGCTAGCAGGCAGATTTGAGGGTGCCAGAGATCTTTCCCACAAATGGGATCTTAGTCGTTGCAACCGGAGTTTCAAAGCTGGTTTTGTTAATTTCTTACACTCCGGGCAATTTTGCATCTGATGACTCTCGCCCAAACAATACAAGCAACGATTGTGGCCGTCGGTGAATGGTATTTTCCTGCCGCACGTCGTGCAACGCTTGAAAAGGGCTGAGGAGGCCATAAAAAGGGCGGGAATGGAAGGGGGGCAGGAAAAGACAAAAAAAATAACTCACAGGGAAACGTCCAGAAAGCAAAAACTTGATTCAGTCCATAAGCCGAAAGAGTAAGTCGTAAAGGCAGTCCAAGAATACCGTTAATAGAAATGCAATAGAATCACTCGCTCAAGTCAAGAAGTCCGATTTCAGCGGCAGCTAAAAGGACCTGAGGTAATGCTGGCGGGCGGAGCATGCGCTCCACAGGGCAACATCCTACTCATCACGTCTTTTTAAGTAGAATATTTCAAGAAGTCCTGTGCAGGTGCAGTAAAATCCATTTGTGTGGATTCAGAGGTCAAGAAAAATCATCCAGTATTATGTACCATGTATTACTAGAATTGGCCACTAGAGGGAGCCAGAGACCATGTTATGTATTCAATACTGTACATTTACACAGAATGGTCTCTGACCCCCCCCTCTAGTGGCCAGTTCTGGTAAATACATCGAGAAAATACGTATTTCAACCGGTGGGAGGGTTTCTTTTAATATTTTCAGATTGAGGATAATGAACCCATGGATATGGTCCCACAGATATGGAGGTCCCATATACATTTATACTATATAACATTTCCAAGTTCTTGTCAGCACTCTTGCCAGACAAGGGATCTCAGGGAAATGTCTCGTGACTTAAAACCCTATCGAAAAAAAATCATCTTACCTTGAGGACGTTTCTCTGAAAAGTTGGACCCTTTATCCATCTCCCTCTTTTCCTCGGTCTGTGGTTTCCCCGTCGCCAGCTGGATCTCCTTCGTCTGGAGAGAAAACGAAGCCGCTTCTTCTGCCTCCTGGAAAAAAATGGCACATGAAATACCAATGAGAAAACGGAGACTAACAACAGAAGGCAAGACTGGCTGAACAAGGTGGGGGAACAAGGCAGAGATGAGCCATGTTAAGTCTCTTGCCACAAGCGCAACCAAGGCCTAATTTCAGTCGAGAGCCCCAATTAAAACAGTGGGTGACTTTCTGGGTCACCACTGATTCAGTGGATATTCCAATAGGTATGAGAGACCCACTGAATCATGGTATCCATGGATCTGTTTCAAGCCCCCGTCTGCAGATTCCAAAAGACACAAAAGTATCAAACACTTTACAATACTGTACATGGTCTCTGGCACCTTCGAGTGGCCAGTTCTGGTAAATACATGCTAGGAATACATATAACCACCGTATTTTTCCATGTACAGTGGTGCCTCGCATAACGAGCGCACCGTTTAACGACGAATTCGCATAGCGACCCGTTTTTTGGGATCGCTAATGCGATCGCATACCGATGTTCTCTATGGCCAAAAGTCGCTTTGCGACGATTGGTAAGCGTTTCACTTACCGATTCTTGTGAGAGATTTTTTAAAATCAGCTGTTCGGCGGTTCCAAAATGGCCGCCGGACGCCCAAAATGGCCACGTGCAGCATTTTCGCACCCTGCCCTCGCTTACCGAGGGCGCGAAAATGGCGGCGCTATGGGGAAACTTCGCACAACGGTGAGTTTAAGAGCCATAGGAACGCAGTAAACCAAGTTTAATGTGTTTCTATGGCGTTTTCGGTTCCGTATAGTGATGTTTCCCCATAGCAAGGATCCTCGAGTGATCAGTTCTGGTAAATACATGCTGGGAATACATATAACCACCATATTTTTCCATGTATAAGACACCGGGTTAATCCGGAACAGGTTAACCTCGCTATGCGGGGCACCACTGTATAAGACTTTTCTAACCCAAAATTAAGAATTCTAAGTGGGGCTTAAAAATGTAGGGGGAAATGGATCAAAGTGCTGCAGGATTACTTTGATTCCTGCTTTCCCCTCCACTTGTTTTTGTTCTTTCCTCAGCTTATTTCCGTATATAAAACGACTCTCAATTTTCAATCTAAGGATTTTAGACAAAAGTATAGTCTTATACACGGAAAAATATGGAATGTATTTCTGAGGATCTTAATTTCGTATTTTCAAACAGCAGATCAGTGAATCAGCGGATACTGCAAATAGTGAGGTTTTATTGTACTTGGATATATTTTCATAATAACCCTGCAAGGTAGAGGGCAGTGTGAGAGAGAGAAAGGGCAGGGAAGCACGAGGGGCTGACCTGAGAATCACCCAATTCGTTTCATGGTTCAATTCCCACAATTCCCCAGGCTGCAATTGTGGAATTGCTGGAAATCCAGCCGTATCCACAGCTGGATTTCCAAGGCCATTGTAATCCAGTGGTGGATACTAAGCTGCATACAAACATCTGGATGTCTTTAGTGCAGTAGTGCCCAACCCTGGCCCCCCAGATGTTCTTAAGATGACACCTCGCAGATATCCTGGGCAACACAGCTAGTGGTGAAGGCTTCTGAGAGTTTTAGGGCAAAGAGATCTGGGGACTTAAAGTTTTGGAAACACTGTTCTAGAAGATACCAGCCAAAAGTTCAAGGCTTGCAAAAGCCTGTTCCTGAACCACAGATGGCTATATTTGCTTCTGAACCAGTCACATCCTAAAAAATAATTTAAAAAAAAACTGAAAATACCCCAATACCCTCTAGTTGCCAAAATAAAAAATAAGCTTTCTAAATTAAAACTGGAGATGTGGGAGACTCGGGGGTGCTTAACTCCCTTCTAAATGACCTCCTAAGCTCCCTCGATACCTATTTTGAACAGTTTCGAGGACTTTTTAAACACTTATTTTTTTGCTTTCAACTGGGAGATATAGGGAGGAATACTCCACTTTACCAGCAAATTGGGCCCTCAGAGCGGCAAGCAGCCTATGGGACACGCGTGCGCCCTCCTGCTCTAACCATTCAATCCCATTGCCTACGGATAGCCTTCAATGTTCAGTTCATCACTAAAAGCAGATGAATAAAAGCAAAAGCTGTTCAGGAGCAGCTCAACAGGCTCCCTCTAGAGGTGATGATGGGCTCTGCTTTGCTAGAGAAGTGTGGAAGCAGAGACTGGGTAGCTATCGGGGTAAGGATGCTGTACAAGAGGACCTCCCCATATCCAAGCGACCGGTATCCATGATTTCACTAACTGGCAGTCTGAAAATATCAAAAATATTAAAAGGAAAAAAAATCCAAAAATATGTGTTTTCATCATGTAATTACCAGAGAATTTATTTATTTGATTTTTACCCACCAGAAAGCCACCAGGAGGAGCCAGATGCCATGTTATGTATTATTGTTGTTCTTTAGTCATTAAGTCATGTCCAACTCTTCGTGACCCCATGGACCAGAGCACAGCAGGCCCTCCTGTCTTCCACTGCCTCCCAGAGTTGGATCAAAATGTGATGTATAGGGTTGGCATCTGTGGGAGGGCCATGGAACAGCTCCTCCCTGGATATGGTGCTCCTGTTTTTCTTATTTTAGTTGTACGTTTCAGGACCAAAAAGGGTCTGGACTAGATCAGTGATTCTTAACCTTGGGTTACTCATTTGTTTTTGGACTGCAACTCCCAGAAACCTTCACCACCAGCTGTGCTGGCCGGGGTTTCTGGGAGGTGCAGTTCAAAAACACCTGAGTAACAAAGGTTAAGAACCGCTGGACTAGATGACCTCCATGGTTCCCTCCCATTCTGGGATTTTATGAATTTTTAGCTCAGAGACTCCCATCCTTTTTAGACAATGATCTCAGAAGAATTTGCCCCAGACCAAAAGGCTACTTGGATAGCCTTTTGACGATCCAGCTGCATATTTCCCAGACCTTGTGCCTTCCAGACATTTTCTAGCCTTTGATCCACAGGATTCCATATTCCCAAACCTTAGGAGGCTGGGAAAAGCTAACGCAACCCTTGCTTGCGTGCAACAGAACCAAACCAAACCCAACAACTTTCCATAGTGTCATTACCAGAATTGGCCAGTAGATGGAGACAGAGACCTCTATAAAGAGAGAGGTCTCTGGCTCCCTCTACTGGCCAATTCTGGTAATGACACCATGGAAAGTTGTTGGATTTGCTTTGGTTCTGTTGCATGCAAGCAAGGGTTGTGTTAGCATATACAGTGGCGTCTCGCTTAACGACGTTAATTCGTTCCAGCAAAATCACTGTAGAGCGAAAACGTTGTAAAGCGAAATAAAAAAGCCCATTGAAACGCACTGAAAACTATTCAATGCGTTCCAATGGGCTGAAAAACTCACCGTCCAGTGAAGATCCTCCATAGGAGCGACCATTTTCGGTGCCTGTAGAGCGAGGAATCCATCCAAAAACACAGCGGGGAGCCATTTTGAGCACCAGGTGGCCATTTTGTAAACCTGACAATCAGCTGTTTTGATCGTTGTAATGCGAAGAATCGGTTCCAGAAGCAGGGAACCGATCTTAGCAAAGCGAAAAAACTTCATTTAAAACATTGTTTTGCGATCGCAATTGCAATCGCAAAAACATCATCATGAAGCGGATTCATCATTATATGGGGTAATCGTTAAGCGGGGCATGACTGTATATACAATTTTTGTTATTATCCAAGGTTTTCAGCAACCATTGGGAAGCTTGGATTCCCTGTGGATAAACAGTTCCTACTGTATGTATGTATGTATGTATGTATGTAGGTATGTAGGTATGTAGGTAGGTAGGTAGGTAGGTAGGTAGGAAGAAAGAAAGAAAGAAAGAAAGGAAGGAAGGAAGGAAGGAAGGAAGGAAGGAAGGAAGGAAGGAAGGAAGGAAGGAAGGAAGGAAGGAAGGAAGGAAGGAAGGAAGGAAGGAAGGAAGGAAGGAAGGAAGGAAGGAAGGAAGGAAGGAAGGAACTTCTCCAAAGTTTGAAAAAAATCTCTTACTGTCACTTCCTCTTCATCTCCTTGCAGCCTTTTTATGAACTCCTCCGCCAAACCTATGGCTTGGGCACAATTCTCAGGAAAATGTTCCTGGACCCAGTTCTGCATCTCCTGCGGCAGGACTTTGAGGAACTGCTCCAGGATCAGCATTTCCAGGATTTGCTCCTTGCCGCACCTCTCCACGTTCAGCCACTGGTGGCACAGCTCCTGCAGCCGTGCATGGACCTCTCGGGGGCCGTTCGCTTCTTGGTAGCACAAGCGGCGGAACTCCTTCCGCTTGCTTTCCCGGGCGGCCGCCTCGCGGCGCAAAATGGCCACCTTGACCTTCTGGAAGTCTTCTCGGTCCTGGGCGCTCAGGCTGACGAAAGCCTTCTCGGCGTCCTCGCTGAGGGAAGGCAGCAGCCGGACGACCCATTCTTTTCTCGGCCAGCGGCAGGCCATGGCCACTTGTTCGAAGGAAGCCAGGAAGGCCCGGCTATTAGCCCACGGGGACAACTGCTCAAGTAACTGGTCCTCCAAGACCGAATCTTCCAGAAACTCCTGGTATTCCGTCTCCCAAAGATGGAAGCTTTTCTCTGGCTTCGATTGACTTTCCTTTGGTGTTCCTGGACTGGGCCGGCCTTCAAGCTTTCCCGCCTGCTTGGCCTTGGGGCTCTTGAGGGCATCTCCTGGACCTTCTTCTGGCTCAAAACCATCTTCTCCTTCTTGAGGTCTATCTTTCTGAACCTCCTTCGGCACTCCTTGGAACTCAGTATGGGAAGCTATCTTCCGGCTCCTCAAGGCTGATGCCATTTTTCATTCAGGTGGGGTGGAAAGTCGCTTCCCTGCCAGGCCTAAATTGGACCGCACTGCCACTGGGTGTGTGTGTGTGTGTTTCAAATGGCCGTTGAAGACCAAGTGACGACGGGAAAAGAGAAGATCCTTTTTTTCCCCCCAGCGGTATTGCAAAGCTGTGGAGGAAATGAGAGAAATTAATTCCCCAGAAAAGATAAAGACTTTAAGACAACAATCAGAAATATGGGACCGTCTGGCCGACAAAAAAGAGAAACCAGGACCAAAGGTCAAGAAGAGACAGCTGCCTCAAACATCGCCCTCCTCGTTGCCAGAACGGTTCTCCCTCAATGCCCTCCAGTAGAATTCCCTCCCTGACAGTATGATCCAGTGGCCATGGTGCCAGGGGAATTCTGGGAGTTGTAGTCCAAAAACACAGAGAGGCATCCCTCAAATTCCGACTTACGGTTTGCAATGTCTTCTACTTCAGCTAATGGCACCCAGCAAACGTGGCTGCCTTTTAAGAAACAGCACCAAGCCAATGCATTCATGCTTCGCTTGCTTCAGGTTACAATTAATTGCCACCAGAAGAGGCCACAGGCTGTACGAGACCTGGGCCTCACCTGAACTAAGGGCCTTCTGTGATTCTGGTTTTTAAAATGTTTTTCCATGCCATTTTTTTACATTAAAATGTTTTTTAAAAAACCCTCCACAAACAGCGTAGGCCTGGACAAGGATGATCAGGGGAATGGAAACCAAGCTTGGACAAGAATTATCAGGAGAATGGAAACCAAGCCTGGATAAGGATGATCAGGGGAATGGATACCAAGCCCTAGGAGGAAAGACAGAAAGAACTGGGCATGTTTTGGCTCAAGGAAAGAAGACTTAGGTGAGAGAGGAAAGCACATTTCAAATACTTAAAAGGCCATCATCCAGAGGAGGAAGCAGGATCTGTTCTCAATCATCCCAGAGGACAGGACATGTAATTGACCCAAGAAACAAGAAGCCAAATTTCGGCTGAATAGCAGGGAAAAAAAACTTTGTCACTGTTAGAGCAGTTACAATGGAACCAGTTGGGTTCCTTTTAAGGAGAAAAATCATTTAAAATTCATATTTAATTCATTTAAGATTCATTTTAAATGAATTTAAATATATAAAATGAATAAATTACCCTGAAGGTGGCGAGTGCTCTGATGCTGGAGGTACTGAAGAGAAAATGAAGACAACCCTCTGTTTTGATCTGCTTTGATTTGGATTGTGTGTGTGGGTGGGTGTGTACGTACACCTCATAGCCTTATGGGCCCTTTCTAACTCCGTGATTCTATGATTCCACCTTTGGGTTTTGAATGGAATTTTCTCAATTCGGAGGCAAGAGTTTGGTAGAACAGTTTTGGGTTTACATTGCGTCCTCAGAGAGGAAGACCATCCCTGAGCAATGGAGTTGTGAAAATTTGTGACTGTGAGATGACCAAGTATCAGTGTTTTATTTATCATCATCATCATCATCCTCCTAGAACTTTAGACCCTATTAACGTTTTCAAAGTACTGTATGTGAGATTTTTTTAAAATGAGTGGTTTTGCCCGTGCCACCTCTCCTAGTGAAGGTTCCTTGGCCGAGCAAGAACTTGAACCCAGAACTCTTTGGAGTTCTAGTTTGTCACTCTATTCATTGCACCACACTGGCTGTTTTTAGGGCACTCTGTTTTTTTTTTACTTCTTCTTCTAAAGTTGGTACAGCTGGGTGGGTAGGAAGGCCTGGTTGTAGAGGACAGGGTCAAGGATTCGAATTCCCCCACCGTGCCATGTGGAAAAAGAACCAGCAAAAATCGACTGGATTATACGGTACGTGGCCCCTGGGATTCTCTCTTGGAACTGCAGAGCTAGAAGGAACCCTCTGGGCCATTGAGTCCAGGCCCCTCTCAAGGAGGCACAATGAGGATTCGAACTCTCAACCTCTGCCTGAACCACTGAGCTATCCAGTAATTTGGTGCCAAAATTATGCCATTCGCTTTTTTACATATTAAATTGGTCAGGCACATTGTATAGACTTGTTCTTTCATGAGCTTAATTGACCGTCACAAAATGGAAGCTAGACGCATGGAGAGACTGCTTTGAGCCTGTGAGGGAAGCAGATCCCTGTTTTGTGAAGGTTTTTATCTCTCTGTTTTCCTCCACCCTGTCCTAGAGTTATTTTTTTTAATTGTCACCAACAGAGGATCATGTAGCAAGGAGTTCCACAGATTAGGTTAGCAGGCTTTGTTTGTTTGTTTGTTTCTGTCCTGCCCAAGGCAGCTATATGGCATAGCATGGACTTTACTTGGCACAAGATTGGTGGGGGAGGAAAGAAAGAAAGCCATTGATAAATAAGACTGCAGTCTAATATTACTATTATTTCTATTATTTCGAAATACCAGGCACAAGTCAATCAAAATTATAAAAGCATGGACTGGTATTATATATCCCATGGACTCCTTGGAGAGGTTTTTAAAAAGAGAGGACTAGATCAATGAATGGCCGGGAGTCAGGGTGGGGCTGGCTGATTTGAAGAAATGCTAATTTAATTCAGATTAGAATTACTCATTGCCTGAACCACTCTTTAAATAGATTTAAGAGGACAATCAAGATCTCTCTTTTTTTTCCCCTCAAAGAGATAAGGGCGTCTTTTGTCTTCCTTAAACACACCCCAGGCTGTTCTCCTCCCAACCTATTTCCACCTTCCCTCTTGAGGGGAAAGGAAACAGATGATGGGCTGATGATTTTGCAATTTTTAGCCAGAGGTTGAAGTAATAATGGCCTTTGATGGGGCTAGAAGGGGGGGGGCAACTCTTGCAAAAAAAAAATTTATTTGGAACAGGCTGGCACATCTCTCTCCCTCAGAAACCCAGGCCCCTAATTCAACTGATCAATCGAACTAGAGATGCTGACAACATCAATGGCCAGATAGGCAGGATACAAATAGAATAAATAAATAAAATAAATTTACATCTGTGTTGAACCATAATTCAGTAATGAGATGCAGAGGATTTATTTTAGCAACTGGATGTAGGCCTCCTAACTTTAATTTTGTTTAAAATGGTTGTTTTCTTTCTTCAGGCTAAACCGAGGCTCACAGAATTGCTGGTAAATTGGGTTTCGGTAGAAATATAATTCCCCACCCCCACTGAATTTATGGAACGTGTTTATGTGTAGAACAAACAAGGGGGGGGGTCCTAGACGAAATCAACCCTGAACTTATCTCTGGAGGCAAAAATGTTGAAACAGAGGCTGTCCTCCTTTGGGCAAATTATGAGGAGGCTGGATTCCCTGGAAAAGACAATAACGCAGGGAAATATTGAAGGCAGCCGGAAAAGAGGAAGAGTCAATATGAGATGGACTGGCTCCCTAAAAGAAGCCCCAGGCTAGAGTTTGCAAGAGCTGCTGAGCAGGGCTGTTGAGGCAAAGGACATCAGCCGTTAGCCCCAAGACAAAGGGTAGAACCTCCATTTTCAGAGGCATTATACACCAGCAGAATCCATTTCCTCTGGGCTTAAAACTGGATGTCAAAGGACTGTAAATCCAATAAAAAATACGTTTAGCTGTACATAAAGTACCGCAGTAATAATGGTAATGATAACAGATTATCTAACCAATACTTAAGTTTTTTGGTTAAAACATGTATCTGTTATATAATCCCAGTCCATACTTTTATAATTTTGATTGACTTGTGCCAGGTATGTATTTCTAAATAATAGAAATAATAGTATCAGACTGCAGTCTTATTTATCAATTTTTTTCTTTCCTCCCCCACCAATCTTGTGCCAAGCAAAGCTCATGCCATGCCATATAGCTGCCTTGGGTGGGACAGAAACAAACAAATAAAGCATGCTAACCTAACCGGTGGAACTCCTTGCTACAAGATCCTCTGTTGGTGACAAGTATTTCTAAATAATAGAAATTATAGTATCAGACTGCAGTCTTATTTATCAATTTTTTTCTTTCCTCCCCCACCAATCTTGTGCCAAGCAAAGCTCATGCCATGCCATATAGCTGCCTTGGGTGGGACAGAAACAAACAAATAAAGCATGCTAACCTAACCGGTGGAACTCCTTGCTACAAGATCCTCTGTTGGTGACAATAAAAAAATAATTCAAGGACAGGGTGGGGGAAACAAAGAGAGAGAGAGAAACCCAACAGGGATCTGCTTCCCTCACAGGCTCAAGGCAGCCTTTCCATGCATGCATCTAGCCTCTATTTTGTAGTTTAAGTAACTACAACTCCCAAAACAGGCATCTGCTTCCCTCACAGGCTCAAGGCAGTCTTTCCATGCATCTAGCCTCCATTTTGTAGTTTAAGTAACTACAACTCCCATGGCTTTAAACATCTGGCCAGGACAGAGTTGAAAAAATACATACTCTGGCGCTGCTTTCTATCCAAATCCAAACCTTGCTTCTCCTCCTCCATCTTTTTTTTAATTTTTATATTTTATTTTTATATTTGTCTGGCCCAATAACAGGATTCTCAAGTTTTGCTTCTAGATTTTTTACTTAGGGGCCACATGGCGATGCTTCGTTTTTATTTAACAGACTAATTATTAGTGTCTATAATTTTTTTTTAAAAAAACCCAATCCGGTCAAGATAATTATTTCAAATTGATACAAGTTGAAAAGTCTGTAAAAGTTAAATCATCTGCCAGCATCTCTCCTGGTCTTTTGCCTTTAGGTTGGGCGTTGTAAAGATTTCATGACCTCTAAATACAGTAGTTTCTCTTAGCTGGGCTTAGCAAAACTTAGCAAAGTAAGGTACTGCAAGAGTTATAATCAAAAATTATCTCAAAGACCATAAATTCCCTAACCTTGCTTTAATAGGTACCAGAGAAAAAAACAATTATTTTTATAGATTTTCAGTGGAATATCTAGAATATATATATATATAAATGAAGCCTCAAGGAAACAGAATGAATCTGCTGGTCGAACAGACAGAATCGCCCATAAACTAATAATTAAATATGGACTCAATACCTCCTTCAAAAAAAAATGCTCCCAGGGCACCCTTTTTCTCCCCAAAAAGCCAGCAAAATGTCCCCAAGAACCACAGGAAGAAGGCCAGCCTGATTGCCTCACCCCAAAGTCCCCACTTCACTGTCAGGTAGACTGCTCCTATCCACGGTTGCTCTACTCAGCTCTCACAGCTCAATGTTCCC